TAGATATAGTGCATAAAGTAGATATAGCATATATAGTGTATAGAGCATAAATAGTGTATTTAGCAGATAGGGAAAAATTATATAAGTAATGTGCTTAAAATATAAATAGAATATACAAAATAGAATAGAATATAAAAGAGAATAGAACGTAGAATATAGTAATAAATACCTACTTTACACTCGCTAAATCTAATGCCTCTTTCAAGTGTAGTAATATCCTACATTATACTAACGACCCATCAGCTACCCTATGAATAAAGAATTCTAGGGTAGTTCTGCCAAAAATCATTACATTTGGTGGTGACTATAAGATCGTCTGACCACTTCCCAATTCGAAAAATAAAGGAAAAGTTAGATTAAAAGGAAAGATATAAGAAACAAAGGAAAGAAATATAAATAAAAACCCCACCAACATACTAAGTGAAGGATGAAGGCCAATGTACTGGAAAGAAAGGATCGCCTCTTGAAACGACATACTGATACCTCACCGATGCACCATGTGAAGGAAGAAGCCAACATACTAGCAAAAAAAGGATCGCCTATTGGACCAACATACCAAGTTCAAAGAATCGCCAAATTGAGACCTTACCGACATACTGTATGAAGGAAGAAGCAACATATCAGCAAAAATACAAAAAAAAAAAAGTAAATTAAATCAGAAAAAGACAAACAAGTATCAGAAGGACAAAAAAGAAAAAGAAAGTAAAACTTACTAAGAAAAAAGCCAGCCAACATATTGGCAAGAAGGAATATACCTGTTGTAGACGTACTCATCAGAAATTGAAAAAAAATAGAAGGAAAAAAAAATTTTCTATTAGTAAATTGATAAAGGACAACAAAAAAAAAAAAAAAAAAAGTAATACCTTATTTGAAATCTGAAGAACAGAATCCAGCCCAGGTTTCAGTGTCCTGGCAAACAAGAGAAAGTCAAAGACGTTAGTATTGAAAAAAAAAAAATCGAAAAGACACAATAAAAAGTTAAGAAAGTACTTACCTAGCGGAAGCATGAAGGCCTTGAAACCCCAATGATAGGACCCCCTGGAGAATTTTAACTGCCTGAATTCATCTACAAATTAAACTTTTGGATTAGTAATCGGCAACTGTACCAAAAAAAAAAAAAAAACCCAGAGAAACTAGAAAAGCATATATACTGAGAAGGAGGTAACTCTAAAACTTGCTCTGCTTTAGTCGACCACTGAAACTAGTAATAACCATAGAATTGTTATCAGCAATGTCCTAGCTGGTGAGAACTTCAATCAACTGAAAAACCGCAGTTGAAAAAAAATTTTTTTTTGTGATCATTGTTTATAAAAAAGAAGCGTAAAAAAAACTGTTAGTATAGAAAAGTCGCAATAAAGCCAAAAAAAAAAAAAAAAAAAAAGATAGATACTTTCTGCTTGAGTTGTCTAGTATTAGATGCCAACATAAGAGAGCTGAGATACCGATCTAGTTGTGCACACATATCTAGTAGGCAATAAAATGCAATACCAGAAAAACCAAAAAGTAAAAGTAACCTTAATATTGTAGAAGGAAAACTTCAGTTATATAGTTGTAGGGATTGACAATTAAACTTTGAGCCTAAAGAAAAGCAACAATAAAGTTACAAGATCAGAAAAATAAACCTATAGCTACTGGAAGTTTAAAGTCAATATCGTCATAGTAATAAATAATCACTGGAACACATATAAAAAAAAAAAAAAAAAAAAATATATATATATATATATGAAATATACAAACCGACCATATCTAACAGAAACTGCTAGCAATACAAAACCTAAACGAAAGCGACCCAACAACAGCAAGCCCAGAGGAACTGCAGAAATCATGAACCAGCACCAAAGTACTTCCAAAAAAGGTCTCAATGTTCTTACTGCAACAAGAAAGAATATGATGTATCCATGTACCTAGCAGTTAGAAAGTTAGACTTAAGGTATATCAGGCTTCTTATGACACTTACTAGAGAGCAAATCCAAAAGGTCCAAGAAATGGTCGATGTAAATTTTGGATATGCTCTTGAAGCTGAGCAGATACCTGGAGCCCTGGAATTTACGTTAGAATTTGTGAAAAATATGTGAAAAGATGAATATAAAGCTTTCATCTATTATCAAAAACTTGCAGATATAAGACATGCCAAAGGAACGTATAATGTTGGTCACTGTAATGAAAATGGTATTAAAGCAAAAAAAGACAAAATGAAGGCATTCACTTACCATCAAAAGTCTGCAGATATGTGAAATTCTAATGTAACATCTAATGTTGGTTATTATTATGAAAATGGAATTGGAGTTGAAAAGGACGAATGAATCAAAATCGATAAGGACAAACACATTGGAGCTGAGAAAAATGAATGTATTGGAGTCAAAAAAGCCAAATGTATGGAAGTTGAAAAAGCCGAATGTATTGGAGTTGAAAAAGCTGTCAAATTAGGAGATATTAATGGAATATATAATGTTGGCCATTATGAAAATAGTATTGAAATTGAAAAAGACAAATGAAATGGAATTGAAAAAGATGAATGTATTAGAATAGAAAAAGTCGAGAGCTACCTTATGGATAGTGTTCTAGTTGAAGGATTAAAAGGTTATTCGAATCCTGACGATAATGTTGATACAGCCTTCAAAAAGATACATGAAAAGAATGGCAAGCCCAGGATTGTAATCGATTTTGAAAACCTTTATGAAGCCTGTGATAGATGGAAAAAAAAGGTATACAAGTTTAAAGCATTGATGAACAAGACAAAAAGGACAGCAAAATGTAGTGAAACTTACTCAGAATCACGTGATCAAGAACCTAAAAGCAAAAAAAAAGAAGAAATTGCTGAAGTTACTGCATATCATGCTCGATTCTTGAAAGTACTTTGTTGACCCCTAAAATAACTATCCCGGTTTTGAATGATAGACCTAAGGAAAAGAAAAAGCAGAGGTTAGAGATCAGAGAGGGATTCACCAATGAAATGAAAGATATCATCTGATACTTATCGATATGCTGATTAGCCTTCAAGATATTCGACCCTGGAGGAGTAGTACAGATATTGTACCTACAATTAGTATTAAAAAAAAAATAAAAAAAAAATAAAAAAAAAATCTTGAAGTCATAGATACTGTTAGTAAGATAATCTGCGACCTACTATTAGCCACCCTGCAAGTTGTAAATGTCATGTCTTTGCCGTACCAATCTGCTGAAAACCTGCGAAACTTGATCTAATTCATGAAACGAATATATTAAAGTGTGAAGAAATATCACGATCCAGAATAGGATCGTCAATAATTTATTAAAGACAATTATATAATTAAACAGTAGTATAGCATATATGTAGCGTAATTAGCAGATATAGGGTATTTAGTGTAATTAGTAAACATAGCGTATATAGCGTATATAGCAGATATAACACATAAAGTAGATATAGTGCATAAAGTAGATATAGCATATATAGTGTATAGAGCATAAATAGTATATTTAGCAGATTGGGAAAAAGTATATAAGTAATGTGCTTAAAATGTAAATAGAATATACAAAATAGAACAGAACATAAAAGAAAATAGAACGTAGAATATAGTAATAAATACCTACCTTACACTCACCAAATCCAATGCCTCTTTCGAGTGTAGTAACATCCTACATTATGCTAACGACCCATTGGCTACCCTATGAATAGGGAATTCAAGAGTAGTTCCGCCAAAAATTGTTACAATATTTATTATTAATAAAAAATACATTAAAAATTACCAATTTTGGTTTTGTATAATGTTATATAATTTTGTACAACCTTAATTATTTCAAAAAATATTGCATAGAATTTTATAATCTTTTTTTTATTTAAAAGCTTTAGATTTAATAAGTTTATTATATAATTTTGTTTAATATCTTTTTTAGTTAACTTGTTATAAATGTTTAAAAAGTGTTCACAATAATATGCTAGGCCACTGTACTGTAGATACAAAATATTATACTTTATTTCAATATAAAAAATTTTTGGTTGTGCAAATTGTATGAAACAGACAATTTTAGTTTTAAAAAATATTATTTTTTATAAATATAAATTAAAGTGTAATGAGATTTTATTAATTAGATATCTTTAGTTAATCAAATCAAGATATACAACAATCAGAAAATTTACAGAGTATAATTCTTCAATAATAATTAGATTTATAAAAATGTTTAGAAATATTATAGCAAAAAGTTTAGTAAAAAAAGATATTAAAATAGATGAAAATAATGTTATTATTAAAATTGATGAACCAAAATTTAGAGCTAATAAAAATTACTGGGTTTTAGAATTTGTTGAGTGAACAAGATTAAGAAAATATTTCTTTAAAATGATTAAAGATTATAATAAAAATACATTACAAAGATTAATTAAAACACATATAAAAAAATGGTTCAACTATATACACTAACAGCTAACATGCATATACAGGATTAGAAAAGATGAGATTTAAGCATAAAAAAATAAACTATAAAAAACCAAATGAAAATCTAGCTTTAAAATGAATTCATACTCAGTATGTTAAAGGTTTGTGATGAGAATTAAAAATGAATATTTTAAAAAGAGACACAGTTAAAGAAAAACTTGATTTATACTTAAAAGAATTTGTATTTCAAAGAAAACATGAAGTTAATTTGTAAATAGACTTCATTAGTGCAATTAAAAATTATAAAATATAAATTATTAAAAAAAACAAAAGTTTAACAAATAAAATTAATTTATATAATTAGTTTATTACTTGTTTTTTTGAACCAAGTTTGATTCTTTGTATATATAAAGATTATTAATTAAAGTTATGCAAAAAAAAATTTAATCAATTTTATATAAAACTGATTAGATTCTTTACAAACAATTTTTCAGAACACTAACCTGAAAAATTGTATTGATTTTATTCTCTTTATCTTAGATGATGCTCTGTGCTTTTTTCATTTTTCAAAAAAAAAACCAAGCTTTATTTTTTTTCTTAGAAACATTGAAAATTAAAACAAATGCTCATTGCTCAATGCTATTTATTGTTTAATAATATGTTTTAATTTTCAAAATTTGAATAAGTAATAAAATAAATAGCTAAATTATTTTTAAAATAAAGATAATACAAAAAATATTACAAATACAAAAAAAATTTAATATAATATTAACAATTTTTCAGGTTCTAGCCTAAAAAATTGTCAGATTTTTGCTCTTTATCCTAAATAATGCTCTATACTTTTTTTTATTTTTTTTTTTTTATTTTTTTTTTTTTTTATAAGAGAGGTCTTTCCTCTAGTTCTTTATTTCGATAATATATAATTAAGTACATTAGTACGAATTGATACATTAAACTAAGGGAGTAGGGGTTAGGGCTAATTTACCCTTAACCTATTCTTAGCTAGAATGGTTAAGAGACCTCTAGTCTATGGGTTCGATGATAGGAGATGTTTGGTTAAATTGTA